GCTCTGAGGCTGCTCTGTGATTCAGCACCTGCAGTGGGAAGGAGATGAGGTGCCAACAAAGAGCAGCTGGATTTTTGCTGAGAATCTCTTGTGCAGCTTATTCAAAGGGATTAATGAAGAATTTTGAGTTGTTTGGAGGTCAGGGGACCAGATATGGGTGTTTTGACACAAAGGTGTGTGAAAGAGCAATGTCCCCACGATGCTGCTGTGTCTGTGCACTTACCAGAATTGAAAATAGACACTTGTGCTCTTCTGCAGTGCCAGAACCCCATGATACAAGACAATACAGCCAAATGTTAGAGAGACTATCACAGCTCTACAACCACACTCAGGGGAGGTTTTCCCAGCATTGTCATGGGAACTAAGGTAAGAAAACTCAAGACTGTTTCTTGGCCTCTAAGGTGCTTCAAGAGCCAAAAGTTACATCCCCTGGTGTGATGCGTCGCTTCTGCATCTTGCCAACTTCATGCTTCAAAGGCATCAGGCAACATTGCTGCTGGATGTCTTTCATGTTCTTGCTTGAGGCATCACAGGACTGCAACCCTGCCTTGCTGCTGGGACAACAGGAAGAGAAACAGCCCATGAAATCAGCCGTGTCCCCACTGCTGTCCCTCTGTGAGCAGGTGCAGGTCTCCTGCCAGTGAGTCACGTCCTCTGTGGCACCTCATGGTGCAAGCAGCACGTTCCTCTGCGCTCACCAGCTTGACTGGTGTTAATCATGCCCTTGCCTATCAGTGCATACCTGTGCTCCAGCTCCTGCTCTGCTGCTCCTGCTGCTGCTTTCACACACGTACCAACCACCAGACTGTGTGCCCAGACCGCCTGGTGCCTTCTTGATATCTCTTGCCAAGCACATGGGCAGTGCTTAAGCATCTGTCATCTGCTCTCGGTGTCCTGAACAGGGAAAGAGAGTTATCAGGCTGATTTTAGCAATAAGAGAACTTCAGATCTTGTCTAATTCCTGCCAGACTCTTGTAGTGACCTTGGAGGATGTGGCTCGAGTTAAAGAACCTGATAAAGGTTAAAGGACCTCTCCTAGATTAAAGCCCCTCAGCTAGGCCAGGATATCTCTGATTTACACATTTAGTAAGGGTTTTGCTCATGCTGGAGCTGCGTGGTGAAGCTTGAGGAAACAGCTGATTCCTTTCACAACACCTTGTTCATGCAATCATTTCATTCCCAGCAATGGAACTGAATAAACAAAAGCATAAATGTTCCTTAATGCTGACTGTGAAGTGACAGAGCTGTGGTCACCAGTGTTTTTTTTCTCAGCTAACTCTTCCTCTATTCTTTTGTTCAGAAGAGCTCAGAAAAACCCTGAACTTCTTCTCTGCCCCCTCTTCATTGTACAATTGGCTTTAAAGTGTATTTTACAGCTGCAAGAGTTTGGCTTGTTCATGAACAGACCTGGCTCAACTGCAGCAAAGCTTCTCCATGAAGAAATACTCCCATTTTTTAAATTTGGGCTCAGCTTTGCCAAAATCCTGATAAGGACTTTGGAACAGGACTTTTCAGGGAGCAGGAACACGTCCCACATCACACAGTCCAGGGTCAGGAATGGTGATCAACACAGGCTTGTGAAGAGTTTGGGAGATAGTTGTATCTGATCTTGTTTTTGGCTAACCATAACTTTCCATGGCCACAACCACTCCCACCTGCTGAAAGTCCCAACACTCGAACACAGAAGTCTCAAAGACTTGCTCAGGAATTTACCCAGAAATCTCAAAAGAAAATTTGAAAATTGCAGAGGTAATAGCACAGAAATTGCTCTTAGTTCCTGAAACGAGAAAGCAACGTCTCCTCCACTGAATAAAACTCTGAACCTCCTCAGCAATGCTGGAAATTTTTGTCAGGCTTTCTGTCAAGGATCAAGAAGGCGTGACAAGGCAGCACAGCATCTGTCATAACCTGATGAAACCTCGTCCTAGATCAGCCCTAGTTCAAATCATTTTCTAAGCAACCCCATAGGCCAGTACAGTACTTTAAGCATCCACAGAGCAATCTTAGGATTACTGCCAGAAGCACAGCTCTCCCCTAAGCATGTGCCTTGCCACACACCAGCAGGTCAAGAGTGGCTCTGCGTGGGCACATCTGGTAGAAAATTAAATAGGTGGCTGAGTGACCAACATCCTCCACAGGTGGAGGTTCGTGACTGAGGTTGGTTTTCCCAGGCATGGAGAATAAAAAGGGTGGTGAAGGCTTTGTGTTGCCTTGTGAAGTCTAAGGATGAGAGATTGAATTCATGTGGACCCTGACACCGTGGGCTGATTTACATAGAAGGATGTGGAGAAGAGGAGGCACCAAGATGATCAGAGGGCTGGAGCAGCTCTGCTGGAGGGAAAGGCTGGGAGAGTTGGGATAGTTCAGACTGGAGAGGAAAAGCTTTGGGGTGACTGAACTGTGGCCTTCTGGGGCCTGAAGGGAGTCTGCATGAAACATGAAGAGAGCCTATTTACAGGGGCTTGGAGTGCCAGGATAAGGGGGAATGGCTTCTCACTGCCAGAGGGCAGGGTTAGATGGGATATTGGGACAGAATTCTGATCCTGTGAGGGTGGGGAGGCCCTGGCACAGGTTGCCCAGAGAAGCTGTGGCTACTCCATCCCTGGAAGTGTCCAAGGCCAGGTTGGACGGGGCTTGGAGCAACCTGGGATAGGGGAAGGTGTCCCTGCCCACGGCAGGGGGTTGGAATGAGATGGGCTTTAAGGCCCCTTCCAACCTAAACTTCTGTGATTCTATGATTCTGATATCCCAGCCTGACCTTGGACCTGTGCAATGATCGTGTTCCTGTCTGATGATGTTTGACTTTCCTGACAGACCTGAGACATGCAAGGACTGTCATGATCAAAACATCTTGCCATGTAACTCAATCCGTTTATTGATCAAGGCAACCCCAGATGATTTCACAACGTTCATGCTCCGAGCATAAATCAATTTACCGCTCTGTTTCCTTCCAAAATACACCTCTTCATCCCTTGTTTATCCTTTAACAGCTGATGGGAAGCAAGTACCAGTGCCATTAGAGAGCAGAGTGCTTCCAGAACCTGATTTAGAACTTCCAGAACTTTACCAAAGTGCTTTTATGGGAGACTGACAATGAATGAAGATAACGCAAACACTGCACCAGATAATTGCAGAAGTGGCAGAAACTTATAATCTGAACAGAAAGAGACTAAACCCTGAAATTCTTGGACATTTTCAGAAGTCAAAAGTATTTTTAAACTAAAATAGTGGCATATGAGGACATGGCTTAGTGATAAACACAGCAGTGCTACAATAAAGGTTGGACTTGATGATCTTAGAGATGTCTTCCAGTTTTAACGGTTCTACGATTCTAATTTCCTGCAGCCTTTTCAGAAGTCTGTTGGGGAACAAGATTTGGGTGTTTATTTGCAGAGACAGAAAGGTCTTCTTGCACGTGCACTGATCTGCATGGCATGAGCACCGTGCAGTCCTGGAAGAATGCTGCTCCAGGGCACAGCCCTGCTGGGAGCAGCTAATCACCCAGAAAAAGATGTCATTACAACCCTACTAAGTGAGGCAGGCAATCACTGTCAATCCAGAGAGATCATATCTAACCCACAGCCTCATTCTTGCACCCTGAGATTAGCTCACCCTGCCCTGTGCTCTTCTGTGGTCAGTTCTAGAAAGTGAAACACCTTTACAGATGACAACTCAAGCAGAGCCCACTGCAGTTGTTCCTACAGGACACCAACAGCCCTGTCCCACCATCTCCAGACACCTGGATGGGACCTTAAAACCCATCCAGTGCCACCCCCTGCCACGGGCAGGGACACCTCCCACTAGCCCAGGTTGCTCCAAGCCCCGTCCAACCTGGCCTTGGACACTTCCAGGGATCCAGGGGCAGCCACAGCTTCTCTGGGCAACCTGTGCCAGGGCCTGCCCACCCTCACAGGGAACAATTTCTCCAGAGTTTTAAGACAATACAACCACACAGAGCCCAGTAGACCTTATAATTTATCATTATTTTTGTTATTATTATTATTATCATCATTATTTGTACATCTTTGTGGAAAGAGGACCTTATCCTTTGCCCTGCTTGCTCTCAGGCATATTTTATGAATATAGTTACACAAACAGGTAAATTCACAGCTCCTCCCCTGATCAATGCATTATTAAGAACTTAATCCAGAAGCTGAAAACAGATTTAGACTCATTACTGGCTTCCACCAGACTCTTCTTCTCTCTCCCACATAAGCAAAACAGAAGTATTCCCTGAGAGGCAGCAAAAGGTGGCTCTTCCAGCTGGATTTGTGCCTTAGAATTGCTTAAAATGCTGTTTCCTGGCAGAACTGATGGAAAACTCTTTCGTGTATGAACAGGGCCAGCGTTATCCAAATCAACATGAACTTGGGAAAGATGTTCCCTATGTTAGTAAAACGGACAGTTCTCATGGAAAAAAAACCCATGAGAGCTCTTCACTGTCAGCAGGCAGAAAGCTTCCATCTCCTTCTGACTGCAAAGTGAAGCACTGGATGTCGGGATGTTGGGGTCCTTGGCCCGGGAGAGTCACCAGAAGGCGAATAAAGCAAAGCTGGGAGGATTCATTGCCCCACCCGCCACGTGGGTCCATCTCAGCAGACCCACTCCCGGGAAACACCAGCGTCCAGGGGGGCACCGAGCCTCTGTCCAGGGGGTTTTTGCAGCTGGGAACAGGAGTGTAATGAAGCCACCAGGAGCCCAGTTCCAGTGGAATTTGTTGCTGCTGGAAACCCGCGCGAGTGAGGCCCAGGGTTTAAAGGCCATGCCCAACTCCTGAAGGACCTCAGCCTATTTAACCCAAACCCAGCGTGCTCTCCTGATCGTGGCATGGGCTTGTTTTCCCCTCTTGCCACAGTAACATCAATCCAAACCAAGCGTAGCAGTTTATTGAGCCTTTTCCCCCTCTTTTTTTTCTTCACTTCTCCCCCCACTCCCCAAACCCCAAAATCAAAGAAGCCCCAGAAGTCACTGAGAAGCCCACGGTCCCCACTGCTCCAGCTCTAGGTGCTCTTCTCCATGAGTTCCAGCATTTCTTTGTAGACTTGCTCATACACTTGCTTGCCCCAGAGGAAGTCGAAGTGGACGAAGTCGGGGATGTACTTTCTGTAGGCCACGTTGGTTATGCGGGGCAGGGTGGTGTTCACGTCCTCGGGGGCTGAAATCCAGTCCTTGCCCCCGTACCAGGCGGCCAGCGGGGCTTTCATGTTCTCCAGCTCATAGAAGGGAGGTGTGGTCTGGAAGGCAAACAGAAGCACAGCCTGGGACACCAAGGGCAAGTCAAAAATCCAAAGTATTCCTGATGGTTGCCCAGGATTTTTCCCTTATCCCGAGTTATAGTAGAGAAACTATCACCGGGGAGCCTGGCAATGCCTTGGGCTCCTGTGCCTTTCACCAGAGGGCCACAAAGTTGTCACTGAGTGAGATCACAGACACCTTTTTTGGCAGGAAAGGCACAGACTTCCTTCCCCATATAAAGTAAATTCCACAAATACCATAAAATTCAGGGAATCACAGAATGGTTTGACCTTAAAGATCATCTATTTCCAAACCTCTGCCATGGGAAGGGACACCCTCCACTAGACCAGGCTCTTCAATGCTCAAAATTCAGTCTCAAACCACTGCAATATTTTCTTGGCACTGTTTTTCCTTTTTTTTTTTTTTTAACCTCTTTTAAAACTGTCAAATGAGAATGTCCTTCTCTTACCTGGTTGTAATGGAGCATGTTGTCACTGCCATAATCATAATACTTGAATTCCCCTGTTTGATAGAGCTGGAAAAGGAGGAGAGCCATGTTTATTATCCATGTGTTGGAGGGGACCCCAAGAAGGATATAAAAGGGGTGACTGGGGAACTACCTTGCTCCCTCCTGCCACCAAGGCTCAAGGAAGCCTTTGTTATGTCTGATATCATATTTTGGGAGCAGAGCTCAGTCCCCAGGACGATCTCAGCACAGCCTGAGCAGTTCACCTGGCTCTGCAAACCCCTGTTCCCTGCAGAACACTGATGTCTGGAGGCTGAGGTCCCAAAAAACCCCACAGAGAACGTGGTATACAACCAAAAGCCTCAAAGGAGTCATGAATCAAACCTGTGGGCAAGTTTTCTTTATCTGTCATGGTCAGTGCCCACAGCAGAAAGATGTGAGTCTGTGCCTGTTTCCAATAATTATTTGTATCACTGGTTGTCCTACTGACCCTCGGCATCTCCTGCCCTGGTTTGTTACCAGTCTTTGTTCCACCTCCACCTCCTACCAGCTCCAAAGACTCTTGGACATCTTTTGCTGGAAGTCGTGGCCTAAATAACTTCATCTGCCCCAGTGTTTCAGTTCAGCTTTCCTTTTCCTCTCTAAAATATGGCTCTGCAAGGAGAGCAGGTGGGGGATTGAACCCCAGCACTGAGCAGAGGCCCTGAGCAGCTGAGAGAAGACAACATGGGCTCCTGCTGCATGGAATGTCCCCCTGCAGCGGGAAATGTTACCTGGCGCCAGTGGAGCATGTTTTTTAGGGATGTGGAGTCAGGGTAGCGAGACAGGTACACGTCCATGCGGCTCTGCAAGAAACCATTGGAGATATTTACTCTCTGCACGGGGGGAAACCCTCCTAGAAATAAAACTGCTCCTGTTCAGTAGCCACACAAGTGCCACTCACACAGAGCTGCAGAGTCCCCTTCAGTAAGCTCAGCATTCCCCACGGGATGCTGGGCCATGTTAGGAGCCTGTCTGGTTTTCAAACCAGAGCAAGACTCCACATCTTGTGCTCAGGGTCCTTTTGCAAAGGCAGAGTGCACCTCATTGCAGTAGCTGTGTGGTGTTTCTAATGTTTCCTTCTTGGAATATTAGGAAATTTCACCTACCCTTTCCTTGAGAAACAGTGGCCCAGTTCTGACTCCATCCAGGATCAAGTTACTCTTGCTTTTGGTGCTTTTGGTACTCTGTGTGGACCTGTCTCCAGTTTCACTCACATGAGCAGTTTTTGGCAGGAGCTGGACCTCGAAATCTTGGCTGGCCCCAGGGAAATAGCCCTTCCCCTTGTGGTTCCTCTGGGACTGCCCAGCTTGCCTGGATGTGTCCTCAAGTAACCTACTGTAGTGCTGGTCCTGGTTGGGAGCAGGTTGGGATGGAGAACCCCCCACCTGGTGCTTCTAGCCTGAATTTTTCTAGTATTCCATATTTGGTGCAGTGGAGCACAGAGAAAGGCTCTGATTTGGGGATAAGTGTGTTCTAAGGGATGGTGGACTGATGAGCCTGATGGCCCATCTCTCCTAGAGGTGGACTGAAGGGAAGTTCATTCCATAATGCTACCAAAACACACGTGAAATTACAAATCACTCAGTGCAAGAGAAACCCTGGGAGCCAACACAACAGCCAGATGTTTCTACCCATCAGAGGTGTGGAAGGCCATGTGAGGGCAGCAAATTGACAACTCCTGCTCAGACATTGAGAAACTGGATCCCTTCAGAGGTAAGCTGGAGGGTACCTACCACGTCCAAGCTGCTGGTAAAGCCACCGGGCAGGTAAAGGACCAGGGAGCAAACACTTCTAAAGATGGGGTAGATGCACACACTGGAGATCACTTGCTTCAAGATATGGCCCTTGTCAAACACCACTGTGTGTCCTAGAAGGAGCTGGGGAAGCCAAAAGGGTTGATCAGAGTGGTCCATGTTGCTTTCTGCCTCCAGGTGCTCCCCACCTCTCTGCCCACCCCTGGGAGCTGCTGGCCTGTCGACACAGCTTTGCTGTGCTTCGTCTTTTTGGCTTCTCACAAACGGCCACGGCCCTGGGAGAGCCTTGATCTTCCCGGGAGAGGTTTCTCCTGGGAAAACCCAATAGCTAGAAATAGTTCTTCCCTCATTAGGGCTGCCCAGGGGGATATTTTACACTGTTCACTGCCCTGCAGGGTGAAGGGCACAGGCACAAACACACAGAGGGCCCCGAGAGGGCAGGGGGAGGGAGGGGATGGACGAGCACTGCGTGTCTCAGGCCACTTCCCTGTCACACCTCGCATGTGGTGAGGACGTACCTTGACCAGCACCTCGGGAAGGTCAAACACCCTCACCAAGGGTGACTTCATGTGGGAGTTCACAGTGATGGGAGCCAAGGCAAAAAACATCTTGATTTTGCGATCCAGTTCAGGAATGGATGAGAAGGTAACGAAACCTGTGTGAGGGAGAAGGAAGCAGACCCTGCCCTGTTACATCTGAGGGAGTTGTTGACTCCCAGGTGTGTGTGCCCATCAGAAAGACCCTTAGAAGTGGCTCTAGCAGGTTGGTGACTTCACCTGAAGCCTTTGCTGCTGCTGTGTTTCAACTCTCATCTTGGGCGCTCAGCCCAGCTGCACCTCCCAAAGCTCTTCCTGGGGCTCTGACAGCAACAAAAGCTTTGTCGTGCACCAAAAGCTATGACTGCCACCGGTTTTGGGCTGTCACTGCTCAAAACTCTTCTGTTAAAGCAAACAGGGATTATTACCTGCCCTTTCCCCACTGTTGTTTGGATGTTACCGTCCCTGACCAGGGTTTTAAGAACATTCCAAAACTGGGTGCAACTGTGACACTGGGTTGATCTCCTCCTAAAGTACCTGTGGTGGTGCCTTGAGAGTAAGCCACGTAGTACAACTGCTCCTGCCCGGTTTTCTGCAGGATGTAGTTGATGGTGGCTGGGAGGTCGTACATGGCCATCTCATGGAAGCTGCGGTGGAGACAAGCACATGACAAAATCACTCTTGGGAGCACGTGGTAAGCAGTGCCACAGCTCCCTGGGAGCAGGCAAGGGGCTTGGCAGGGATGGGCAGCCCTGTGGAGTCCCAGTGGTGCTGGTTTATGCCCACTGGCAGACGGTGTGACTGCCAGCAGTGCTGCTCCTCCAGCCTGCAGAACCCTGCTGAGGGTGCCAGGCACCTGCCCGCCCTTCAGGTTCACGGCACATACCTGTAAGCTGAGTATTCCTGGTGGTGAAACTCAAACTCTTTGTGTTTCCGTGACCAGCTGTTCCCCCGGCTGTTCCCGATCCAGACGTCGTAGCCGGCGTCGGCCAGGATGAAGCCCAGGCTGCTGTTGGGCAAGTTGGTAACCCAGTTGCTTCCCTCCAACACCAGCCCATGCTGGAGGAGGACCACGGCCTTTGGAGCTGGAGGAAGAAGACGAGGAATCATTTTCTCTGACCGCTGGGAAAACTGAGCTGTCCACATCCAGGTATTGCTTTGGCAGCAAACCCCGGGAGGAGTGACACCAGTGCAGGGAGGTGGTCACCTCTGCCCTCAGCCTCTGTGGGGAGGTGTTTTTGAAGAAGGCTCTTTGGTCATCCCAGAGCAGAGAAAACTGTTACAGTGAAGATGGAAGACAAGGCTGGGCTCTACATTTAACGGAGCCTGATAAATCGCGCTCCCAGAAGGACACACAGGTCCACATCCTGACACCCCCTGTGCCCCTTGCATGGAGACCAGGCAGACCTTCCTGTGACACTTACGGGGACAGAACATGCTGGAGCCCTGTGCCTCTGCTTCGTGGGAGATGCTCGTGCTCTCTGGGTTGCCCCTGCCGTGAGGGATCCTCTGCACGGTCAGGTAGTAGCCATCCTCCGTCACCACCTCGTGCTCCTCGTAGGGGTACCCGTGGTAGCGGACGATTTCACCCTGCAGGAGGGGAAGGACAGCGTGGGACAGGTCCCCAGGGAGGTGGTGGGGGTCTCTATCCTGAAGGGTGTGAGGGCTTGGGCTGGGCAAAGCCAACATCTGCTGTTGCCAGCGGGAGGGCGGAGCAGGGACCTCCCAACGTCCCGTCCACCAACACCGCGGCGATGTCATGAGTCCAGCTGAAATTTTTGGCAGGTGTGAGTTTCCTGCACTCCCTGAGCAGATCTGGTAAAGAACTGTCTCTTTGGGTGTTGCAACCAATGCTTGAGAAGAGCTGGGCAGCAATGACAGCGAAGCTCTGAGCCCGAGACAGCTGTGCTGGCCAAACCTGTTGACTTGGAACCAAGTTCCCCATAAATGTCTGCCATAAATCTGGGAAGATTTGTCATAAATAAGAACAGGGAGATAATAAAACCTGGTATGAAACACTGGTGAAGACACACAGAGACCATGCCCAGACTATGAACAACATGTCCAAGCAGGAAAAGAAGGGGGAGAAGTCGGGACTTACAACGTCCATGAAGACCTCGGGGTTTGCATCTGACTTTTCCCCAATGCACGTTAAATAAGCAATAGTCAGGAACAGCCACATCATGGTGCTCTGCAAAACATCATCGACAGCAGAAATGTGAGAGACACTGACGGCACTGGCACAAAAGCTGGGGAATGCACTGGGGAAAAGCTGGGGGATGCCTGATGTGCACTACACTTCCATCAGCAGATCGACGTGACCACTCCACAGGTGAAATAATTTTAAACTTGAAGTCCTCTAATTGCTTATAAAAATGGCTTATTTTGCTAATCTTGCCCAGTTTCGGAGTCCAAATTCTATCACATCTTAATCCCACACTGTTCATCGGGCCCCTGTTTTTGGAAATATGCACATGTATGTGTACAGCTATTTGTGCCCAGGCAAACCTGGTTTTCAAGGAGATCATTAGAGATTATTCATTTAGAACGATGCCTTGGGCAGTTTGAAGAAAAGATTGTTTCGTTGCACTGACAGGTGAACTAATCAGGAGTAAACCACCCAATTTTAAGTCACAGGGCCATGGAGTTTTGTTTCTAAGGTGAAATCAAACAATGTGATTTTGTTGGGATCTCCTTATGCCTGAAAAGACCCTGGGACACCCCCGACCTGGTTTTGCAAACCTGAGTGAAATACCAGCTCAGGAGCCCCCTGTTCTTTCTGGGATGGGTTTTGAAGGATCTGTTTTGATGTGTTCCTCCCACCTTAGCAGTATTTTATTTCACAGAAACACAGACTCATGGAATGGTTTAGGTTGAAAGAGACCTTAGAGATCATCTCGTTCCACCCCACTGCCACGTTTACCTCCATGGGTAAATTTGTTGGAAGGCAGCAAATTCACGGCAGAAATGCTGCCTCAGCTCTTGTGTGGCAAGAGGCTGAAACAGTTAAATTTAATCGAATAATTAAATAACGCTGTAGCAAGGAGCTGCCCAGTTCCCACTGAACGCCCCTGCCTGCGCTGGGCTGCACGGGAAGCAGCGATCACGTCTGGGTGCCACTGCCAGGTATTTTGCATCCACCCCTCTGGCTCCCCTGGTGAAAGGAAGGAGAGCTGCGAGCAGGTTTCTTGTCGCTTCCCGGCTCCAACCCTCATCATTCCCTCTCTTCTGCGGGAGGAACGGGCTTCCCACGCTGCAGGAGGGTGGTTTTGCAGCTGGGGAGAAAGTCACCTGCTCCCTCTGCTGTCCCTGGCGTGGATGTGAGGAGGGAGGACCACAACTGCACCACTGCTCTGCTGCAGGGTACCCCTTGTCCACTCTCCCGCTCACAGCACGAGGTCGGGGGGCTCTAACTTGGCTCGGCAGAGCCCTGACCCCCAGTCTGGGGGAAGGAGGGCTCCCCACCACCCTCCTTCCCTGCACCCCCTGGGGCGCGATTTGGGGCCAGGACCCTTCACTGCACCGCACGTCACTGCCGACGTCCCCGTGCTGCAGCGCGACCCTCCTTCCCCGGATCCTTCCCGGGATGCTCCCGAGGAGAACACGGGGCTCTGGGAAACACGGGCAGAGATGGGGGGCACGGCAGGGACGGCAGCCACGCACTCTCAGCACAGCCCATCCATCTGCTGGGCCCCCGAGGCTCTGGACTCGGGACTTTTAAGACTGAGCCTCTGGAAGAAGCAACGAGAGACAGAAAGCATTTTTGTGGCGTAACGTCAGGAGAACAGAATGCAAATTCCAGGGAAGAGCCTTGCTTGGGATGGCCCTTTCCTCCCAACGGCAAACCCGCAAAAATGCTCCCTTGGAGAAGCGTCCCTCAGCTCGGCAGAGCCCGAGAGCCCCCCTTGAGCTCCGAGAGGTGCAGAAACGTGAAACCTCTCCCACCATCCTGCCCCTCCCGCCAGCAGAAACGACATTTCCTTTGAAAAAAGGACTCTGGGGAAGGCCCGCTGTCCCATCCTCCTGCCTGCAACTACCTGCTGCTGTCTCCTGCCGTCCCCAGGGATGGTCCCTCGCTGGCAGCCCGTGCCAAGGCAGGGGCACCCGAGGAGGAGGAGGAGGAGGGATTACCTGTCGCGGTGCAGGGGCTGCAGCAGAAGAGGTGTGGGTGCCTTTTCTCCCGACGTCCACCCCTCAGAAGGTCCCTGCTGCCCGTTCACACCGCTCTCGCCCACCGCTCACCGGGCTGTAATTCCCTCTGCTCCACATATTCGGGAGTGTCACGGGTCGCCACTCCCTCTAATCCTTCCTCCTACGAGGATGTAATTTACCTGAGGGCTGGAGTCTGCTCTGGCAGGAGAAGGCCTGCCCACCTGGTCTTGCTTGGGAATATTTTTGTGGTGCTGCAGAAGAGTCTAGAGCTGTAACAAATTGATTATTTCCACTTGATGGAGTCATTTGGCGTTGCCCATGACATCTGTGAACTGCAGGACATGGAGCCTCTGGACTCTCCACCTGCACTGGGACTGGTGTTGGTGCACGGGACTGGTGCAGGTGTTGGTGTGAGGGGCTGATGGTGCACAGGGCTGGTGTTGGTGCACGGAGCTGTGGGGTGCTCAGGGTGCTGTGGGGTGCCTGGGACAAGCCTAGCTCATCCCAACGAGTTCCTGTGGGTAAGCCATCCAGCTCTTTTTGGCTCTTCTCGCTGCCTCCTGGCTTGTAATGAGCGAGCTGCCTGAAAATGCAGAACTTCCCAGTCCCCACAGTGACTTCAAGGGGTGCTCTTTAAAAAATGGGAAATAAATCCATCCCCGGGGAGGGAAGAAGCTGGGGACAAATCCTTCACCTTTTTTCAGACTTCACTGCTTCCCAGCTGGCAATGCCTGTGGCCAGGAGCTGCCTGATGCCCATGGAGGTCCCTGCAGGGTCGGTGAGGGGTGGCATGGTCTGTGGGTGTCATTTTGGGAGCTGCCTTAGCGACCACTTCTCCACTCCTTGCCAAGGTGCCCGGACTGCAGCACCCCGGGGCTGTCTGAGCCCACCCCTGTGGGCTCCTGCAACCCTCCTGGTGTCAATACCTGCCAGGTCTGGCCCAGCCACACTTGCTGAAATGCAGATAGTCATTCTTAGGGAAGCCTAAATAATTCCACCTCTATTTGGAGCTCTAATGACTGGTCTTGACTAAAGACTAGCTGGAGGCAGTGCCAGAAGCCCTCCCAGTTGGCTCACCCTCAAATGAGCAGTGGCTCATAGAAGAATGTGATTTTTTTCCCTGCAGGGAGAGGAGAAAAGGTGGAAAAACAGGACCAGGTAGGCCCAGACAAGAACCACTCCCCCTTCCTCCCAGCATACAGCAACACCAACAAAATTTGCCTTCCTTTTGAGGACAGGGCATCAGAGAGGCTCCTGGTGGAGCTGCGGCCACTCCTGGCCCTCACATCAAGTTTGGGGCCACATTGTCCCCCTGTTGCTTGAATCTGATTGAGAGAGAGAGAGAGAGAGCAGAGCAGGAGCCGAGCCTTCACCAAGGTGTCCTCGGAGATTTCCAACATGCAGATCACATGGCTCTAGCAGTGGGATGGAGGCTCTCCAGAGAGGATCCAGCACATCTGCTGGGGATTTGTGCACTGTCCCCATTCCCTCACCCTTCTCTGCACCAGTGCCAGCTGGTATCTCACTGCCAGGGATACTCCCCATGTCTCCCAGAGCACTGGTAAAATGGGGCTGGGAGCCCCCCAGGATGACCCCAGTTCAGACTGTTAAGGCATGGACAAATCAGAGAAAGAATTCCGAGTCGAGCTCATTCCAAACGTTTTAAAAGTCATTTTATTTTCCCCTTGTAACAACAAACGCCCACTGAGGGGGAGGGAGCGAGGAGGGGATTACTTGAAAGCAGCCACAGGGTGAACCACTGCTGCCGTCAGCGCAGGACTGGTGTGAGCACGGTGTGAGTCACGGGGGTGAGCGCTGAGCTTCCACCGCGTGTGGGTGGAGAGCTCTGTGCAGAGAGTAGCTGGTTGGCAGCAGCTCAGTGTGGGGCAGCAGAGAGCAGAGTGCCCGCCCGGTCAGCCCCCAGGGAAAACCTCATGATGGGCTGCGTCAAACACAGCGCGACCCACCTGGGCACTTCTTTGCCCCGAGCTGATTTAGTCTCAGGCACTCTTTCCTGAATTTCTCTGCCCTTCAACTGGCTGCTGTTTGGTTATGCAGGCACTGGGGTCTTGGAGTGATCCTTGTCCATGGGATGGTGCTCTCCGGAGGAAATGGGAAAGCCTGGGCAGCAGAGGGTGCTGTGAAAGTGCTGGTGAGGGAGATGATCTCCTGCCCAAACCCTCATGGAAGATGTAGTGGTTTGACATTTTAAAAAAAACCAAACCAAAACAACAAAACAACACAGTTGTCCACCTCTCCTTGAGCATGAGGTGGTTCTTTAGCCTGGCCACGGCCACCCAGGGCAGGAGCTCTGTGGGGATGGAGCCCTCTCTGCTGGGAGGATGGGAAAGGGCAGCTTGTCCCGGTCCAGCAGTGACACCAGCAGTTGTGTTCGTGCTGCTTTGTCGGGGTGAGAGGGGTGTTTTAGTTGCATTGGTAAGCCATGGTGTTGTTTCAGGCCCTGTGAGGTTGTCCCTGAAGGTTGGACCACAGACTCACTACCAGTCAGCATCACCACCATGCCCCAGTTGGCTTTGCATTTCTTCTCTCTGCAGTTGTGGAGGAGCAGGAGGAGGAGAAACAAGGCCCTCCATAAAACCTCGGTATTTCCCAGCTGATTATAAAGTGTTTTGGTGTTCTTTGTGATGCAGAGCAGGTGAGACATTTCTTTTTGTGTGTGCATGGGTGCTGTTGAGTTTGATTTAGTGAGAAACAAACTTAAGCTCAGGTTTTTCTGGTTTGTGTGAGTGGAGTGCAAAGTCTGTTACTGAAAAAGAGCCCCACCCAACTCCAAAAACCCCAGGGCACCCATGTTTTTGGTTTGCTTTCCTCCTTTGTCACCAGGGGGAGAAGCAAAGTTCTGTGCAGCCTGTGCTGAGCTCTGTCCCTACCTTATCATTTTACTGCTCTCATGACTAAACCCCTCCCAACCCTCCCTCTGAAGCTGTTTTGCAAACCACCACAGGTCATCAGCAGGGTGGAAAGAACACCTTGGCTTCAGGGAGAAGCAATTGTGCCTTGGATGCTGAGCTGAGAGTGGTAGAGGAGGGAGGTGTGGCCCTGGCGTGCTGCATCCAGCCCTGGAGTTGCATCTCCCCATCCTTGTGTCACCTCTCAGCTCCTACTTGGTGGGGGAAAGCAGGTCCTGACTCCAGCTATGGTTTTCCTGATTATTGGCACATGCCCTGGTGCTCTCAGGGCACAGGCAGTAGCATTTCAGCCCGGAACAGCAAAGCAAAGCTCGTGAGGTGCTCGCGGGTAGGACGTGCCAAGAGGGACTTGTGCCCACATGTGGCTGCCCTGGCTGAGAGGAAAAGTTGAGTGGTTTTCTGGATCTGCCAGGCAACCTGCTGAAATGCATCTGAGCCTGCCCAGCCAGTGGATACCTGGCTTGGCTGGGAATATGGTCTTGGCCTGGAATATGCCCTTGGCAGGGGGAACATGCAACAGGGTCTGATTGAGCAAACGCAGCTCCCCCGGCCTCTCCTTGCACACCTTGGCCTCCACCCACCATCTCTGGCCTCACTCTGATGTGGGGGTGTCTCACTAGTCCCTGGGAACCCAAAACTGGGTGCTGCATCATGATTCAGCCTCCTCAGTGCCAAGCACAGGGAATAATCCCCTCCCAGGGCTCACATGTGCAACACATCTCTTCTGTCTTGAGGGGAGCTGGAGTGCCGGTTATGGAGTTATTCTTCCCGGGAAGTGGCCAAGCCTGTCCAGGAGGAGAGGTTAAGGAGGTGTGGCAGGGGCTGGAGAAATAAGGAGGGCAGGGGCTGGAGAAATAAGGAGGGCAGGCGTAGGGGGAGCTGTGGGCTCACAGCTTGTCCAGAGAGGCACGGAGGGCAACGGGCATTTCTGGAGAGGGTGCGAGACAAAGGACCGAGGAAGGACTGAGGAAGGCTCGTCAGGCTTTCTGCAAGTCACTGAGGCAGGTGAAGGTGAGCCTAGAGACCAGAAGCTGTTTATGAGGACACAGGGACCAAAGGCAGACCTGGCCTAACTCCTTTGTACCCTTGTGGGGAATGCCCCTGCCTGCATCCTGGTGGGAACTGGCTTTGCTGCAGCTGGAGCATTCTGGGAAGCTCCTGCAAGGAGAAGGTCTGTGTAGGTCTGTCTGCAGCAGCCTCCTCCCTGCACCTGCTGTGGTGTCAGCAGGTGACAGTGGGGACGGTGTGTGAGCACTGCAGAGAACCACAGCCTGAAGGTCGTGAGCTGGGCTAGGGAGGGGAAGGCTTTGGGGAGCATCCCCACAGCTATTGCAGGCTCCAGGGTGGTGGGAAGGAGCAGCCTTCAGGGTTTTGCTAGGTTAGACCTGGGGGTGTTGCTAGATGAGTGTTGGATGCCTGAGCTGTGATGGTAGGGAAGGAGACGGATTAGACTCTTGTTGTATCTGCTGGTGGAGGCTGTCCCTGATGCTGGAAGTGATGGTGGATCAGCAACTTTGGGTTGGGATCCAGGTTTCATGGGGTGCCTTGAACAACAACCAAATGCAAGAGCTCTTTCTAGCCCATCTTCAGGCAATGGGACAGGTAATTCCCAAGCCTGGTCTCTTCTCCTTTTGCCGATCCTGCTTTCTGCCTTGGAAGGAGCCATGCAACTGTTGGCTCCTGCTGATGGTTCTCAAATAGCCTGGAACCCCTTGGGATGGTGGGCTGGAGATGGCAGAGCACACCAGGAGCATGTGGAAACAAGCTGGAAACCATCCAGGGCAGGGATGGAGCAGGGAAGCTCGGGCAGAAGGGAACTGTGGCACAACCCCCCACGCTTGAGGGACGATGCTTCCCCTGAAATGCATTCCCTGAAAACACCCCACTGCTTTTCCCAGTGAGGGGGTGGCGGGAGGCTGCTTGTCCCACACTGCAGTTGCAGCTGGACTAGGTGGGAATGGTCAGCAAAAGGCTTGGAATGGGCTCCTAACTGCACAGGGGACTGGTGTTCCCAAATTTCCAACTGCTCCACGTTGCAGCATGGGGCTGCTGGATGCTGGATGCTGGAGCTGCACGGAGTTTCCTGGTGCTGCCAGTGCCCCCCCGACCCTGCTCATGCCAACCCCATCATCCCCCAGGTGCTGCAGAGAGAGAAGATGTGGCTGCTGCTGCTGGTGGCCCTGTGCCTGTCCCAGGGCCTGGGAAGTGCCATCCCCACTGAGGAAGAATTCCACAACCCTGAGAGGTTCATGAACATTGTAAGTGCCGGGAGGGCAAACACAGCCATGTGGGACCCAGGCTTCCCCAAAGTCCTTCCTGGGGGACCAGCTGGGCTCACCTCATGCCCATTCCTGACATCTGGGGGCATCAAAAGTGTCCTGTGTGTCCATGTGTGTCACTCACTTCATGCCCTCAGCTTGAGCTTGGTCTCTCCCTGCTCTTTCTTTAATATAGAGGGACCTTCAGAAGGAGGTGACGCCAGAGAGCGTGGGTGGCAGGAGCGGGTGAAACTGAGGTCAGGCATGGGATGGTGGCTCACCCTCTCCCCTTGCACCCTTGTCCCTGCAGAGCCAGAAGATCCGTTTCCAGGGCTATCCCAGCGAGGAGTACGAGGTGACGACAGAGGACGGCTACATCCTCAGCCTCAACCGGATCCCCCATGGCAGAAACGGTGCTGGGCGCTCAGGTGGGCTCCGAGGGTGGAGCAGCTGTGACCCTGCCCAGAGATGAGGCAGCGGGCAAGGAGAGCCAGTGGGAATGCCCCTGCCTTCACACGTGGTTTTGGTAGCTGGAAGAGGCACGAGAAGTTTCTGCCCAGCTGCCCTGAGCTGTCCCTGGGGATGCAGGAGCTCGGCATCCAGGATGGGGCAATGTGACCCGGCGAGCCCCAGCGCCTCCTTCCCTGCAGCAAACCCCGTGTCCTGGTCCAAGGTTCCCTGACAGATCAGGGCCTGGGATGGCAAAAGCCCTTCCAACAAAAAAAGGCACCAGCAGAACCAGGGAAATAACGGGATCAGGGAATGTTTAGCGTGCAGCCCGTGGAAAATAACATCAAGATGCACATGGGTGTTTTATTTCCATATAGGAGAGGCATCTTCTTCTATCAGCTACCTGCTGTCTCCTTCTCCAGCACCCAGGACACCCGTGCTGATCGTGCACGGGTTTTGTTTGGATGGTGGTGACTGGGTGGACAATCTCCCCGACAACAGCCTGGCCTTCATCCTCGCGGACGCGGGATACGACGTCTGGATCGGGAACAACCGCGGCAACAGCTGGTCCCGTGGGCATCTGGACCTTTCTGTCCACGAGGAGGCATTTTGGGACTTCAGGTGAGGAGGCCACCAGGGACAGGGCTGGGATGCTGGGCTGTCACCCCCTGATGCCCATGGGAGGCTGGGAGATGGGCGTCCCCTCCAGCCTCTCCCCTTGCTCCCCAGCTTCCACGAGATGGCCATCTACGATCTCCCTGCCATGGTGGGCTTCATCATAATGCAGACCGAGCAGGAGAGACTGTTCTACATCGGCCACGCTCAGGGCAGCTCCCTGGGTGAGTGAGGAGGAGGAGGAGTGGATGGTGGGTGGGAGTGGGGCACGGGGATGCCATGGGAAAAGGGGCACCAATGTCCACCCCAAACTGGAGGCTGCTGGGAACAGGGCTGTGCTGGCCCACGCAGCCACCACTTTCCCCACCTGCCTTCTTGGTCCTTCTGCGTTGGAGAGGTTGGCCATGTCTTGCCCGTCTATCCTGAGCTGTGCTTACATCCAGGAGCAAATTTTGTTCAGACTCTGCACCCCAGACAGGGTGTCTGGGACGAGCTGGGGTTGCTGTTGTGATCCCTTGCTGCTTCCCAGGTTTCATAGCGTTTTCCAGCCTGCCACACCTGGGTGAGAAGATCAAGCTCTTCTTTGCTCTGGCTCCTGGGTACACCTTGAGCCACGTCAGAAGCCCCGTGTTAAAGGCACTGCTTCTACCAGACGCGGTGCTGAAGGTATGTGAGGTGTTTGTGTGTCGTTACTCCCAAAATCCAGAACTTCTGGTAACTCGTACCCTCTTGCACTGCCACCGTGCACTGATGCCATGTCTGAGGCGGGCGCTGGAGATCCCAACATCATCCCTAACATTTCCTTGCAGCTAAAATTTGGAACCAAGGAGCTGAGCCTGGTGAGCAGGAAGGACAGAGCTTCCCGGGCTGAGAAGTGCATCAGATTTCCAGTAGAGGAAATCTGTGAAAATGAGATCTTCCTCATCGGCGGGTACAACAGGAAGAACTTGAACATGGTAGGTGCATCAGGCTCTCCAGTCACAGTCACCTCCAGTTGTCCTAGACACCTGGAGATAGTTAATGAGCTAGAAAAATGAGCACAAAACCCCAAAACAAGGTGTGAAAGGCAGCAGTTACTTGGAGACTTCTTGCAATGGTGTTGGAGTGTTAAACCTGGTGGAGCCTTTGTTAAGAGAGAATCACCTGTGGTCATGTCCCTAAGGGAAAGGTGACTCCTGCCTCATTTTCTGCTTACATGCAACATGTTCATGGAAGAAAATAGCCAAAAAATGGCTGGATCAGTTTTATTTCCATTTTAAAATGTTGGTTAACTGGTTTACCTTTAAAAGCCCCTCTAAGCTCTTAACAGAATAAAGCTGCTAAAGAAGAAAATTTAACTTTTATATTGAAGGTATAAGACAGAATGTTTGGGGTATTTTTTACCTAGGCAGATTTTCATCATTCCCAGCTCATTTAGAAATCACTTTCTTTTTCCTGCAGAGCCGACTGGATGTATACCTAGCTCATTTTCCAGACTATACATCAGTAAAAACTCTTCTCCACTGGGGACAGGTAGGGACTCTGATTTTTTAACTACTGAAACCAATGCTTTTTCTTTTAATGTGTGAATATGATGTTTTCAAGTGCTGCTGGAGACAGGTGAGGGGGTAGAATCAAAGTTGATACGTGAAAGGATTTTGAAGTTGCTGGGCCGAGGTGTCTCAAAAGCCACAGCTGCCCAGGTGGGGCTGATCCAGGGCATTACCTGCACGGGGCTGACCCTTTGCCTCTGCCCTCCAGACTGCCAAAAGTGGGCACTTCAGGCAGTTTGACTACGGGTTCCTGAAGAACCAGGAGAAGTACAACCAGGTAAATGAGCACTTGTGGGAGAAGGAGAAGGAAAAAGGACCTGAGTGTCCTGGTTGATGGCAAGTTGGCTGTGAGTCAGCAGCACCCTGGCAGTCAGGAGGGGCCAACCCTGTCCTGGGGGCATCAGGGAGGGGATTGTCCCTCTCTGCTCTGCCCTGGGGCGGCCTCACCTGCAACACTGGGGCAGTCTGGGGGGGGAACACAATGGAAGGAGGGTACTGAGCCATTGGGGAGTGTCCAAAGGAGGGCAAAGAGGATGGGGAAGGGCTTTGAGGGGGAGCCGTGTGAGGACACTGAGGGCACTTGGTGTGTTCAGCAGGAGAAGAGGAGGCTGAGGGGAGACCTCAGTGCAGTTCCAACTGCCTGGGCAGGGGCAGAGGAGGGGCAGAACTGAGTTCTGCTCTGGGGGACCAGGGACAGCCCCCAGGGAATGGCTGGAGCTGCGTCAGGGCAGGGTTAGGTTGGCTATTAGAACAAGGTTGTTCCCCCAGAGGGTATTTGGGCACTGAGCAGGCTCCCCAGGGCAGTGGGCACAGCCCCAAAGCTGACAGAGCTCAGGGAGCATTTGGATGATCCTCTCAGGGACAGGGTGTGACTCTTGGAGTTGGGCCTGTGCAGGGCTGAGGGTTGGACTGGATGATCCTCGTGGGTCCCTTCCAGCTCAGCGCATTCCGCGATTCGCGCTGTTTGTGTCAGGCCCCACAAATAACCGGCGCCTTTTCCCCGCTCCCAGTCCACCCCGCCCTTTTACCGGATAGAGGACATGACGGTGCCGGTGGCCGTGTGGAGCGGGGGGGAGGACTGGGTGAACACCCCCAAGGAGACCCAGCAGCTGCTCCGCCGCCTCACCAACGTCATCCAGCACAAGCAGCTCCACGACTGGAACCACTTCGACCCCCACTGGGGCCAGGACGCCCCGCAGCGCCTGTACAGCCAGATCCTCTTCCTCATGGGCCAGCATTCATGAGTGTTCCATGTGCTGTGCTGCCCCTGGGGTGGAGGAGCCACCCCGTGCCCGCCTGCCTGAGGGCAACGGGGTTGGGCATGAGGGAAGCCAGGCTGCTCTTCCCTCCTTAAAAACGTCTCCTATCGCCCTGTTCCGCTTTGATTTAAAGCCTTAAATGCGACGATGTAGTTTCTGCCTGCCCGCTGTGACTCTAAGGATTGCAATAAACTCTCGCTTCACAGCCAGACTCCAGCCCTTTGCTTGCTGGGGTGAGGTTTGCAGGAGACCTGCTTTGTTTTGTTGTTGTTTTTTGGTGTTTTTGTTTTTTTTTTTTTACCTTTTGCTGGCTCAGAGCATCATGATCAAAAAAATTTGACTCCAGGAATTGATCATGTCCTTTGGGTTGTGGGGTTTAGGCACAGGAGGGGAGGAAAGGAACCTTGACTGTGGCTCTGGAAAGGCTGCAGGAGGTGAGCACTGACTGCACGGGAATCAGTGAGGTCAGCGCACACCACGTGCTTGAGAGGTGGAGAAAGGGAAACATCTCGGCCTTGGTGTTAGGCCCCTAGGGCATGCCTTGGGGTGAAAATCCAGCTGGAAGAATGCAGAAGAATTTCTTCGTGGGAAGGGTGGTATCTTGGAGGGCTTTTCCAAACTTAATGATTGACTGATTCTGTGTTTTATAGGAAGCTGAATTTAACATGGCCCACAGTGTTATCTAAGGAAAAAGCTCTGTTATGAGCATGTATATTTGGAAAATTATCTATCTATCTATCTGTCTATCTATCTATCTATCTATCTACCTGTCTATCTATCTATCTATCTATCTTCACAAATCCACCCAGCCATCCCTCTCCAATCCCATTGTTTCTTGCCAAGCTTTTCTTGCTCGTCCTGTTCTGCTTCTTAGTGTTGAAATGAAAAAAAAACCAAACCAAAACCAAACTAAAACAAAAAAGAAGTCCAGACTAGAGGAGTGAATTTCAGCAACTCTGTTTACCCTGGAGGGATTAACTCCTCAATGGCTCTCTGCAACCAGAGCTGCAATATTTTTTTGTTGCCTAAATTTATGCTGTGTTGAACGGGGCAGGGATTGGTAGTGCCATGACTTGAGCTCCTACTTTGGGGACAGCTGACAAGGCTGGTTGCACAAAGGCAGCCTGTGTGTCTGTGCCACCAAATGCAGCAGAAGAGCATCTCGTTTTCTGGATTCTGCCTTACTGATGGGACTACTCAGAGATAAATCTTGCAATGGCCACAGCCATTCATGTGTCAGCTTGTGGGAGCAGAGTAGCCCAGCATCAGGTATGGAAGAGTCCCCATCTATTTATTTCACGTTACTTATTTATTCTGCTTATTGCACATTATTTATGCCAGCCCCATCTGTTTAGTACATGTGCTTGCCAGCAGGTCAAGCAGTTTGCAGAGCTGTGCATCATTCTGCCTGCAAGTCCCTGCACGTGGCAAGAGACACCCACAGTGACCCAAAGAGCAGAAGGTTTTAGGACCTCCAGTGCAAAGAAAATAAAAACACTGACGGTCTGGGTGGATTAGGACTCAGTGAGATTAATTTGCAACCTCTGCATCCCCCGCCTTTTAACAGAGAGATAAATATGTTTAAGGGATAAAGCGTTGCTCTCTAACGCAAGCTGACGTCAGTGGAGCAGCTTGTGGGGCTGGAAAGCTGAGCTCAGGGCGTCGACTGTCGTAAGGCATCTCGCGGTGCCAGCACCAGCTGCACTGCGGGGCTCGGCGAGGCACTGAGCTTCCTTTGGAGCACCCAGCTCAGGCTTTGCAAAGGTATTCCCACCCCTGACCTGCCTCTGAAGAGTAATAATAATGGCCAGTCTTCGCGAGCGAAGATCCGGGGAAGGTCTTTCCACCTTCCAGCCTGCGCATTGGATTTTTTAGGTGAGACACAGTGTGCGCTGAACTGAGTCCACCCTTTAATCCTAAAGTTCATCTGCCGGGGCCAAGCGAGCTTGGACGGTGGCAGTGAGGTCCTTAGGACGTAGGTGGGTTGCCTTTTTTTAAGGGCTAACGAGCCCCACCTGCCCGGGAGTGGCCCTGACCGGGAATCGAACCCGGGTCTCCGCGGTGATAGCGCGGCGTCTTTACCACTAGACCAGCGGGGGCTCCTCTCTGAAGAGTAAAAGGAGCAGAATTCACTTCAGGAAGCAGGCAAAGTCAGTCTGGCAGTGGATTGCCTAATAAAAGGTTGGTAAGAGTAAGAAATTGGCCAGCAGGATTGGAGGCTGTTGCCATCGATTTGCAACATAATGCTGAGGCTAATGAGGGTGGATCACAGCTGTGTTTAAAACTGCACCTTCAAATAACACACTTTGGGTACCTTTTTCCAAGTGAGACAAGGCCAGGTTCGTGTTGTTTCATCCACAAAATTAGGAGAACTGGGTGAGAGCCCTAACCACCATTTTATATTGCTTCCCAACGGGATCTTCCACCAAGAATCAACTTGCACACCAGATTAGAGCCAAGGACCAGCAGGGCCAGCTGTCACTGGTGCCAGCTGAGACTTGCTGCTCCAGGAGCCCATGAGCCCCATGACAAGAGCCTGTTGGACAGCCTTTTATTTAGGGATGTGTTCTCCCATCAGCCAAGGGACAATCTGCTGACTCAGCCGGCAATGGAGTCTGGCATGTCACAGCTTCAATCACCCTTTCCCACCAAAACAGCACGGAATAAAAGAGGTCTCCTCCCCTGGAGTGGTGGTGGCCTCATGGTGGCCTCACGGCAGCGCTGATGTGCACTGAGGACCCTGGTGCCTTCCTTCCCAGTGGTCCCAGAGAGGCACAGCAGGTCAGACTGGGAAGCTGGGGAGGGACAGGGTGGTGACAGCCCTTGGGATGTCCCACAGCCTGTCACAGGAGCAGTGGTGGGAAGAGGTCCTGGGGTCTGTGTACCAGCCCTGGGTCAGGGCAGCCCCGTCTAGCTGAGATGGGACCATCTGAGTGCCGGGTGGCATCCAGGGAAAAGCACCGATGGAAAACACCATCAGCTCACAGGAAGCCATCCCAGACTAGTGATTTGAGTTTTTTGGTCTGCACTGTGTTTCCCAGCTCCCTGAGTGCCTGCCAGGCACACCCCAGTGGGAGCAGAGGCAGGAGATGCCGTGTCATCCTCAACTCCTGGGCTGAGGGGCTGTACCCAGGATCTCTGATCCCCTCTGGAGACCCCAGGGGAGGATTTGGGGTTTGCTTACTTACATATTTATACACCTCCTGGGCCCAGCCACGTGTCCCATCTGCAAACATCTCCCACTGCTGGCAGCTGATTTATTTTCCAACCTCTGCATCCCCCGCCTTTTAACAGAGAGATAAATATGTTTAAGGGATAAAGCGTTGCTCTCTAACGCAAGCTGACGTCAGTGGAGCAGCTTGTGGGGCTGGAAAGCTGAGCTCAGGGCGTCGACTGTCGTAAGGCATCTCGCGGTGCCAGCACCAGCTGCACTGCGGGGCTCGGCGAGGCACTGAGCTTCCTTTGGAGCACCCAGCTCAGGCTTTGCAAAGGTATTCCCACCCCTGACCTGCCTCTGAAGAGTAATAATAATGGCCAGTCTTCGCGAGCGAAGATCCGGGGAAGGTCTTTCCACCTTCCAGCCTGCGCATTGGATTTTTTAGGTGAGACACAGTGTGCGCTGAACTGAGTCCACCCTTTAATCCTAAAGTTCATCTGCCGGGGCCAAGCGAGCTTGGACGGTGGCAGTGAGGTCACTAGGACGTGGGTGGGTTGCCTTTTTTAAGGGCTAACGAGCCCCACCTGCCCGAGGAGTGGCCCTGACCGGGAATCGAACCCGGGTCTCCGCGGTGATAGCGCGGCGTCTTTACCACTAGACCAGCGGGGGCTCCTCTCTGAAGAGTAAAAGGAGCAGAATTCACTTCAGGAAGCAGGCAAAGTCAGTCTGGCAGTGGATTGCCTAATAAAAGGTTGGTAAGAGTAAGAAATTGGCCAGCAGGATTGGAGGCTGTTGCCATCGATTTGCAACATAATGCTGAGGCTAATGAGGGTGGATCACAGCTGTGTTTAAAACTGCACCTTCAAATAACACACTTTGGGTACCTTTTTCAAGTGAGACAAGGCCAGGTTCGTGTTGTTTCATCCACAAAATTAGGAGAACTGGGTGAGAGCCCTAACCACCATTTTATATTGCTTCCCAACGGGATCTTCCACCAAGAATCAACTTGCACACCAGATTAGAGCCAAGGACCAGCAGGGCCAGCTGTCACTGGTGCCAGCTGAGACTTGCTGCTCCAGGAGTCCATGAGCCCCATGACAAGAGCCTGTTGGACAGCCTTTTATTTAGGGATGTGTTCTCCCATCAGCCAAGGGACAATCTGCTGACTCAGCCGGCAATGGAGTCTGGCATGTCACAGCTTCAATCACCCTTTCCCACCAAAACAGCACGGAATAAAAGAGGTCTCCTCCCCTGGAGTGGTGGTGGCCTCATGGTGGCCTCACGGCAGCGCTGATGTGCACTGAGGACCCTGGTGCCTTCCTTCCCAGTGGTCCCAGAGAGGCACAGCCGGTCAGACTGGGAAGCTGGGGAGGGACAGGGTGGGGACAGCCCCTGGGATGTCCCACAGCCTGTCACAGGAGCAGTGGTGGGAAGAGGTCCTGGGGTCTGTGCACCAGCCCTGGGTCAGGGCAGCCCCGTCTAGCTGAGATGGGACCATCTGAGTGCCGGGTGGCATCCAGGGAAAAGCACCGATGGAAAACACCATCAGCTCACAGGGAAGCCATCCCAGACTAGTGATTTGAGTTTTTTGGTCTGCACTGTGTTTCCCAGCTCCCTGAGTGCCTGCCAGGCACACCCCAGTGGGAGCAGAGGCAGGAGATGCCGTGTCATCCTCAACTCCTGGGCTGAGGGGCTGTACCCAGGATCTCTGATCCCCTCTGGAGACCCCAGGGGAGGATTTGGGGTTTGCTTACTTACATATTTATACACCTCCTGGGCCCAGCCACGTGTCCCATCTGCAAACATCTCCCACTGCTGGCAGCTGATT